TGGCTGGGGAAGGTGGCAGTGGCATTAAAGGCAGGCTTTCTGGAAGAAAGTGCCCCTGAATCCATTTGAATCAGGCCTTGAGATATAGGTGGGGAATGAGGTGCAGAGGACTTCTGGGGAGGGCTTCAGGCTAGGGGCCACATGAGGACTTAGGTCTTTCCCTGGCCGTCCCTGCAGCAGCTGCTGAGGGCTGGGGCATGTCTCTGAGGTCAGGGTCTGAGGGTAGTAGCGGGCCCCAATCCAGGAACTAGACAGATGTGGGAGGAAGGGCAGTGGAGACAGGACAGGGAAGGGAGAGGGGACAAGAAAGAGGAATTTCATCCTTGGAATGTTGTGCCTCTCACTGGTGCCCTGGGGTTGTGCCATCTGGAGTTACATGCCTCCTGCCATTAATACTTCCTCTCTTGGAGAAAGGCCAGAGACCACCTGCTCACTCCTGCAAAACTGTGCCAAGACCTTGCTGCGAACCTTGGGCTGGGAAGCAGAGGTCCCAGCCTGGGTGCACCTCTCAGCTGATAGCCCTGCACCTTATGCCACCAACTTCCTCTTCTGTCCTGGCACATGGATAGACTATCCTCTGCACCAGTAAAGATACATTTCCAACAGCCATTGCCTGGAAGCTGACCACAGAGGTCATATCCACCTCATGTCCCTGGGTGGTACCTGAGTCTAAAATGCACACACTTCTCTTAACTCTTGGGACCTTAAAGAGACCTGGGAGGCCTCGTGTGTGGAGGCTGCTATCCCATTTCAATATTAAGGGAAGGAAACTACAAGGCTCAAATCTGGAAGGAATTTGCCCTGAGGCCTCTGACTCTGGGCTCTCTGTGTGTTGTTAAGAAATGGAGCCAAGAGCTTTGGTGCGAAAAGTGTAGGCTGGTCCCTGTTGGGGAGGGTGCTGCGGACTGGTGGGCACCAAAGATGGATTCCACATTATCCTTCTGGCTCTCCACTCTCTGCTGCCTCCTAGGATCCTGGGCATGTGTTCATGTGTGTGTGGGTAGAATGTGGAGTGTGCCATAGGTATATTCAGTCTCTGAGTAGGCATCCCGGGGTGTGCACATGAATGGACACTCAGCCTGTGAATGGGCAATCTTACCCATTGCCTAGAACAAACAGCGTTACTCTTCAGCCACTCATCCATACCCTGTGGAATCCCATAGTTGCAGCGCCATGCCCTGCTGGCTTCCTAGGATTGTGAGCTCCCAAGTCCTGTGTAGATGAGCCAGCCCTTTTGCACTACCCAATGGTGGGAGAATTGCCCAACATCGTAGTAAGAACTACTCAGCTTATTCTCCTGGTACAAACATCTGCCTGGGTAAAACACTGAGTGTCCAGCCTACTCCTTTCCTGCCCCTTCTCAGAGCAGATTCTCAGAGCTAGCCCAGTAACCTGGGAGGGATATCCTGGTCACAAACACCACCCGAGAAAGAGCCCTTCCGGGAAGCAGAATGAGCCATCACACCTCTGGTATAGGGCCCCCAGGAGGTCTGTCCTTGGCACCTAGGGGCATAGGCTAAGAAAAGGAGAAAGGCTGGGAGACACCTGCATTCAGGTCTAGCAAAAGAAGAAAGATCAGGGTTGAGAGAGGCTGGTGGAAGCAGGGACACCAGCCCAGGAAAGCTGGGGGAGTCAACAGGAACTGAGTGGTGGGACAGGGCCCAGAGGCAGAAGCAACAGTGTCTAGGCAGTCACCACGTATGAACAGGATTCGTGATGCTCTTGCTCCCTCAGGGTAGCCAGCCAGCGAGGCAAGAGTCCACTTGGACACTGTCCGGGGGGAGCTGCTTAGAGTCTAACACCCTCTGCCACTGGCTACATGCGTCTGTCCACCTGGGCTTCTCTAACCCATCTGTCCACTGTGTGATCCTCCTGAGAAAACTGCAGGTATCATGTGTGAGGCAGGCTGAGGGGTACCTGGTGATGTGGCTCCTTACTCATGTGTCATTGGTATTATGAAAAGCTGGGGCCCCAAAGCCCTCACATGAAGCCAGGCATGTGAGACTTTCTGGCTCAACTCAAGACTGCCCTGCTATAGTTGGGGTGTGGTTTGTCTCTGCCCAAACTCATTTGGAAATTGACCCCCAAATTGGCAATGCTGGGAGGTAGGGCCTGGTAGGAAGTGTTTGGATCATAGGACCAAATCCCTCATAAATAGATTAATCCTCCCACCAGGGGTAAATGAGTTCTTGCTTTAGCAACAATGGATTGGCTCCCAAAAGAGTGGGTTTTTAGAAAAGTTTGGCACCTGTGATCTCTTTCTCTCTTATTTATTTATTTTTGAGACAAAATCTCACTATGTCATCCTCAGTAGAGTGCTGTGGCATCACAGCTCACAGCAACCTCAAACTCTTAGGCCTAAGTGATTCTCTTGCCTCAGCCTCCCAATTAGCTGGGACTACAGGAGCCCACCACACGCCTGGCTATTTGTTGTTGTTGTTGTTGTTGTTGTTGTTGTACTTGTCATTGTTGTTTAGCAGTCCCGGGCCAGGTTCAAACCCGCCAACCCCAGTGCATGTGATGTTGAGCTACAGGCACCAAGTCTGGTGTCTCTCTCTCTCTCTCTCTCTCTCTCTCTCTCTCTGTCTGTCTCTAGTTTCCTCTCTGCCTATGTGATCTCTGCACTTGCCTAATCCTCTTCCACTTTCTATTATGAGTGGAAGCTGCAGGAGGTGCTGACCAGATGCAGCTGCCCCAACTTGGGCTTTTTAGCTGACAGAATTATGAGCCAAATAAACCCCTGCTTTATGAATTATCCATCTTCATTTTCAAAGGGAACTAAGACGAGTCCTCAGCTCAGCCCTGCTCTGACAAGTCTAGTGTGAGAAAAACTAACTTCGGAATAAAATGGAGGTCTGATCTCTTCCCCAGCAGGTGCGAACTTATCCCTTAGCTCCTTGGGAATAGTCTTTGTCTAAACTCAGAGATCATGGGAAAGGGAAAGGTATGCAGCATTTAGGGCCACAGGGCATGAGGCTGTCTGGAGGGGGTGGGCTGTGTCAGGTCCTGTTGGGGTCCTGACACCCAAGGCCAGACAGCACCTCCCTTCTCCCTCCTCAGGAGGGACTTGTCTCCTCTGTCTCTCACCCCCTCTATCGTCTCCCTACATCTCCTTCCAAGGGAAGCCAGACACAACATGCAACCTTGTGAACTTTATTTCAAGAAGGAGGAAAGACAGAGGAGTTGTGTGAA